AGCTGTTATAAGTATCGTTCACTTGCGGTGGCTGTATTTGCAAGCACTGCACGGCAGGGCTGTCAACTTGGCTCAAACCGTGCCATTTTGTGCACTATTTTACTACTATTTTTCTTTTTCTTAGCTAAAATTTTCTAACTTCTATAGTGTATAAAACTGGTTTATCTTAATTTGGCATTGGACTTTTGTTTTAGAAATGTGTTTGTAATTTTAATGCTGAATGGGAAGAATTTAAAAGAATGGCACCTTTTTGGCACTTTTATTTACCTATTTGGCACTTTCTTTTATCCTCAATATGTCACTTCCAAAGAAGGTAAATCTATAAGAAGGGACAACTCGTTACTTTGAAAATGTGCCGCGCCGATTTTGACCGTATCTGAAACGTTTGCAAGAGGAATTCGTCTCCGTTTTGACTCTGCAAGCAAAACAGAAACAGAAAGCAGAAGAAAAGCGGCAAATGTGAATTTCTGTGATTATTTTGCAGAAGTGATTGAAAAAATTTATTTTAATTTAAAAAATACATAAATGGAGGTGCAAAATATAAAATATTCAGTGAATGTGTAAGATACTCAGGTGCCTCTTTGTGGGTGTCCTTATTAATAATAACAAGTAAGAAAGTCTAAGTTCGGGCGGGGCCGAACATTAAATACCCGGCGCAAGTATTAAATATATGTTTTTCACCTTTCCGAAAGCTACCGCTACATGGTTAGCCGGGGTGTATCAATTTTGAGTAAATTAGCGTCCTTAAATTTCGAAATATTGAAGTTTCAAGCAGTTCTGAAATTTACCGTTATATGAAAATCAGCCGTAATTTTAGTCCGATTTCAATAATTTTCAATGGTTTGCTTTTATGTGGCAAGCGCAATAACCATACCGAGTTTGGTATAAATTGGTAGAACGGTTACCGAGATATATATATGTGATCATAAGTGGGCGGTGCCACGCCCTTTTTCCAAAATTTTATAATAAACGTATTTCTTGGTAAAAAAATGTCGCAAGCCTCAATTTTGAATAAATTAGCTTTAATATTTACTGATTTATCGAAGATTTCGTATTTCTCTAAATTACCGTTATTGTCCGCTTTTTAAAATTTTCGGCCATTTAGTATGCTGTATCAAGGCCAACCACTGTGCTAAGTGTTGAAGAAATTGGTGCAGCGGTTATCAAGATATACACATGTAACCATAAGTAGGCGTGGCCACGCCCATTTTCCAAAAATTTATAATATTCTTATTTCTCATCTAAAACTTATTATAAATATCAATTTTGAGTGAATAATCTTCTTACCGTTATATGGGAGGTAGGCGTGGTTATTTTCCGATTTTGCCCATTTTCAATACCATCCGTCCTATGCTAGAAAGAAGTGCACGTACCAAGTTTCGTTCAGATATCTCAATTTTTACTCGAGTTATCGTGTGCACAGACGGACGGACGGACGGACGGACAGACAGTCACCGCTTAATCGATTTCTCTTTTCATTCTGATCATTTATGTATACATTTGTCTATATCTATCTCGATTCGTTTTGCCTGTTACAAACAACCGTTATGTGAACAAAGTTATAATACCCTTGTGCACAAGTGCGCTCGGGTATAAAAAGTGTTTGTCAGCAAGTGCCGTTTGGGCATTGTGGCGTCTGTGGATAAAAGTGATCATTATTTTAAACAAAACCAGTGTACTTTTATATAAAAATGCATTAGTTTAATAAGAAGTCTATGCATTTATATATGAGTATACTTATGTTTTATTTTCATATGGAAATTTGCATATCTAAAGTGCAAAAAAGTTGTGTGTCGGGCGATTTGATGGACAAAGTGTGTATATGGCGGCTTTATTACAAAACCAATGTTTATTATATACAGATGGCATAAGTTTAATTTAAATATATGCATTTATACATGAGTATGCATACGTAATGTTTTCATCGGGCAAGAATAAATATTTTCCAATTTTTTGTTCATATCATGAAAAAAAACAAACGCATAAATGTGAAACATAAGTGGTCTCCATCTTTCTCACATCCTCCGCCAAAAAAACGCGTAAATGTGAAACATAAGTTGTCTCCGTCTTTCCCACATCCTCCGCCATATTTATTTTGACAAACTCCTGCGTACGTTTACATAGGCTACCCCTAACTTGATCATCTTGTAGCTATATTCTGCTTGTTACCGAATATTTTGTAACCAGCAAATTATGTTACCAAACATTGTTATCTCTTCTTGCAAACGCAATTCTAGGTACCTTGGTAACGTTTTAATTTATTCAGCATTCCAGCTAAGAAGTTTTGTAGAAATTCTGTTGTTGCATATTTCATGGGGCAATATTTTGTTACCTACTTATGAGATGGTAACAAATTTTACCGGTTACGAGTGCGCAGAATGCGGAAAGGGTTTAAAAAAAGAGAGGAACCTTATTATCCGTTAAAAAAATTTGATCGCCAACGCAGAATAGGTTTATGTACGATTTTGTGTTTGAGTCTTTTCATGATAGTAAACCATATTTGTGTTACCAACGCAGAGTAGATCTGTATGTATACATTCACTTATACATGCTTCAGAGCTTTTTAACCATCAATAATGCAGAATAAATAAATTTTTTGAATTCGTATACATGTTGCTCGAAGTATCTAGAGTCAACTGTAAACAAATCGTAAGCAACGGGTTTACAAAAATTTTTAAATTTATGACCGAAGCTGGTGAAGGCAACCATGTTGCCAAATTACAGTTGTTGTAAAACTACTTATGTATGTGATTTTAGAAGTTTTGAGTTTACGTCGAAATATCATGGGTCATTTGTGCAAAAAATTTATGTTTATTTTGTTTTTTTATTAAAATAAAATATAAACCACTAATTAATAATTTAAAAGCAGGAAGGAGCACTGCGGTTTAGAAGTTCAGAGAAATAATGGCCAAACTCGAGATAAGTAATTTTTGCAAACGTACTCAGATTTTACTGCGGAGTTGCAACTTTTCATTTGACTGGCTGTGATTTCTTCAATTTTACATTTTAGAATTTTTGTGGCCCTCGCGCAGAAATTGCGCTTGTAGGCGATGAGATTGCGGGGAGATGTATGGTAATTGAATTTATGAATGAATCAGTTTGACCTTGAAGAATATGCGCACGCGTTTATGAATGAATTTGTTATTGTTGTATTTTAGTGACACGTGCGTATATGTACGTATATTTGCATGGATGTAGAAACATACATATGTTTGTATGGAAAATCGCAAGAGTACATTTGTACAAATTGGCGTAAAGTATTTATTGATTTTAAATGTTCAATTTATTATTTTATTTTATTTGTTAATTAAAAGGGATTTTTCATTCATAAGTTACAACTTTACACCTTCCATATTAAAGAAGAAGTTTGTAAAGCTCTTGCATAGCGCATCCATTTAATTTCCTTACATTTGTTTAAAATTACAAAATATGGAAAATCTACGCACATGCGCATGTTAAAAATCGACGGCAAATATTTCATTTCTTTATTTCTATCATCGATTACTCTTTCTTCAACATTCTTTGTCGCCGCGAAATCAAATGTGCGGCGAAACCATTTACGAAACTTGATGTCAAAGCGGACGAGAATTCCTCTTGCAAACCTTCTAGACTTACTCGCCACACTTCAGCGAGTTGTCGGGTGGGCTTTAGCAGTCAGCCGCACCTTGTGTTTTAAGAAACCCAGGAGGAATTAACAAATGAAACTTGGTCAGGATGTTAAGGGAGGTATCCTCTAAAACATGTATTACTAAAAAGAATAAACAATATCATTGTTTATAAGTTATTTGTTGTTAAAATTTCTTAAGTCGTTCCACTAGGTTTCCTTAACAAAAAGTGCATTTGTCACATACTTTCATATATATAAATGCACATAACACTGTGCTTAATACTTTACATACTTTTATTTTATTTTATCTTGTATATAAATCACTTTAGTTCAACTTCTATCGACATGTAAATTACATCGAATTGTACCATGAACCAAAAATACAAGATTACGTAAGAACGCGACGTTGTATTTGTAACTGGTTTTGAGAAAAAAGTTTGCGAAAGCGGGTTCGTCAGCTGAGCGTTTGTTTACATCACAAGCACCACTATTTTACACTTTTATTTAAGTAAAGAAGAGTTAATTCAACATGACAATACATTTTCAAGCATTTTATTGCATCATTTTACTTAAATTGTGCGCTTAAAGTGGCTGACAAGAATTTTGGCTAATTTTGGGTTTCGTTGTTTTCTTAGCTTTGTTTACTTTTCGCTCGTTTTCCAGTGAAACAAGATGGCGTAGAACCCGCTAAAAAAAATCGACTTTTTTCACTCTCTTGTTGTTACGTGATCTTGTGTCTTTCGTTCATGGAATTGCACCCATATTTACAATAACACATGGTTGCAAACTGACACATAACATGTGTTGCCATATTGTACAAAACAATACATACAAAAAAGGCAATGTTTAAAAAGGAATACAGGGGAAATCAATACAAAAGAAAATGAAAATTTACCGCTACTTTTATTCTGGGCGTGTATTATTATCAATGAGGGTTTCCGGTCACGAACCCCTGTGCAAAAATATTGCCCATGATGTAGGCGGTGTTGGTCACGCCCGATTTGTTTGCTTTAAGTTCGGTCGAAGTCCGCCTACGCAGAAAGGTGTTCTCTGCAAACGGTGTTCAGCTCCTTTTCTTCGCAAAACAGAAAGGAGAATTCTACTAAGTGAAAATTCCGAATTAAAACTCCGCTTTTATTATTCAAAATTCCAGTCTGGTAGCACCAAGTTGTATGATATTTTGCTATCTTATTCATCGTTTAAATGAAAACTTTAACAATAAATTATATAAGAACTATAGGGTTGCTAGAAAAAAGGGGGTATTTTTGAAATCAGGGGGTCCTATTCTACCTGTCTACTAAAATTTTCCCGAGTTGTCTCTTCTTATAGATTTACGTTCTTTGATTGAATCATGAATCATGCTCATCTGCTAAAGCTTGGAGGAGTCCTAACCCTGATGGGAAATTAAAGCCGGCAATTGACATTTCCTTGTTCCTTTTTTCAATCATTTTATCATTTACTGCCATCAGTTTTTAAGGCCGCTATACGTCAAAAAAGAGGTAACTTGCATTATAAATACCACGTAAGTACGTAAAAAATTAAATATTTTTTATCTCAGGAAAGGGAGAATGAACAAATTACCGTCGGTGAGAAAATTATCTTTGCCGCTATTAGTGGTGTTAATCGTAGTAGCGTTGGCAATAGCGAATATTCCTCGTCCGCGAGGTGTTCCGCTATTCAAGGCATCGCTCTATGCTCCCGGCCCCGGCAAAAGTTGGGTTTGCCTAGATGGTCAAAAAACCATACTTCATACGCAGGTCAATGATGACTTTTGTGATTGTGCGGATGGTAGTGACGAACCAGGTACTTCTGCCTGTGCAAATGGCAGTTTTAACTGTGCGAATCTCGGCCATCGCGCTGAGGACATCCATAGTTCGCTTGTTAATGATGGAATTTGTGATTGCTGTGATGGTAGCGATGAGTGGAGTGGGGGTGCTGCTAGTTGCCCAAACACTTGCTTGGAGCGTGGGAGAGCGGAAGAAGAACAGCGACGGTCGCAAGCGGATTTGCACAAGCGTGGTAGTGCAAAACGATCGGAATTTATTGCTATTGGTAAACAAATGCGAGTTGATCGTGAAGCCCGGCGAAAGGATCTTGAACATAGGCGCAAAGAACAGGAGGCAGTGAAAGCAGAGAAAGAAGAGCTGAAAAAGACTGCAGAGGCAGCTGAAGCGGAAGCTCTCGATATCTACAAAGAACAACAGCGGGAAAGAGATGCCGCTGCAGCCGAAGCCGCCAGATCACAAGAGGATGCACAGACTATGCGTTATGAGGCAGAGGCGGCATTTAATAAATATGATGCGAACAAAGATGGCTTTGTAGAAGTTACAGAATTAATGATAGACATGACACTCGATCGAGATCGCAATGGCATTGTAACTGTTGAGGAAGCAAAATTCTTCTTAGATGAACGAGATCGCATTGACTTGGACTCTTTCCATACGCTTTCGTGGCCAAGAATCAAACCGATAAAGATGTTAGCAGAAGGTATTTTCAAACCACCAGTACTTGAAAACGGAGGACAAGAAGAAAATGAAAGCGTAGAGACGCAAGAGCAAACCGCGAGAGAAGAATTAGAACACGAAATCGAAGAAGGTAAATAAATGGATTTAAAAAAATATATATGTACCTTTTTTCATTAGAAATATAATACCTACTACCTATCTCACTAAGGTCATGAACAAGTAGGCGTTGGGGAAGGTGCCGATGGGGAAGAAGAGCTATATGAGGATGAAGAAGGCGAAGCTGATGTTGGGGTCGGTAGTGTGGCGGATGCACCACAGTCTGAGCCAGACTACGATCCAGAGACCAAACGCCTGGTTGACTTGGCAAATGAAGCGCGGCATGCTTACACCGAAGCAGAACAAAGCATTCGTCAGATTGAAAATGAGATTAAAGAAATTGCAGATCAAGAAGCTAAAGATTACGGACCCAATGAAGAGTACGCAGCACTAGATGGTGAATGTTTCACATATGAAGATCGGGAGTATGTTTATTCACTTTGTCCTTTCGAACGAGCTTCACAAAAACAACAAAGGGGTGGTTTGGAAACAACGTTGGGACGATATGAAAAGTGGTTCGGTGAAGGTGATAAAAAGTACCAAAAACAGAAGTATGCTCATGGAGCTGCTTGCTGGAACGGTCCACAACGTTCTGCTATGGTAGAGTTTAAATGTGGACTTTATCAAAAAATTACCTCCGTGGCAGAGCCAAGCCGTTGTGAATACAATTTTGTTTTCGAAACGCCAGCTGCTTGCGACGGTGTCTTTTCCGCTGACACGCGCCCGCATGATGAGCTTTAAAAAACGCTCATTAAAAGAATAAGATAGCGCTCTTACACGTACATACATTTTACCGAGATGTAGAGAGGTATTCTCCGGAAATGTTATTTTTAATGTATAAAAAGTAAGATTAAACTCGATGTATTTAATAAATGTAATATGAGATGAAACTTTAGGAGCATTGTCAGCATTATAGCATTCCTTTGATTGTGAATCAAGCAAACAGGAAATTTATTTGTACACATTTTACAACAACGTTCGTATACTTAATTAGTAAATATTTTTCACTTGCATTTAAATGAGAAAACGAAGGGCATGTAAAGTGTTTCCTGTAATCATTTTCGGAATGAAATAAATTCAACCATTTAAAGTGGGTTTGGAAAGATTTAACGACAGCTGTTTCTTAATGTACCTACCATCTAGACTGAAAGAGGGCTTTTTATACTATAGGAAGTCCATATATAATATAGTCATAATTTTAGCAATAAATAGAAAGATTTTAGTTTATTTGAAAAGTTTGGAACCAAAATCAGGTAAACCGCTTTTACTCACACACATTGTAAATACTTACAATAATAAATGAAGAGTAATTGAATCGGTGTTTGGAAACCGTAAATGTCCAAAATCAGTTATTTTGTTGTTGAAATAAAAAGACTTTATTGAGATCAATCCGCGCAACTCACGGACATATACGTGTTCTGTAGCTAAAGCGGGTTTACCAAATGAGGTTTCAGATAAGGTGACTCCCTTTCGTGTGATTTCTTTAATCTGATGTTGGAGAAGAGAACTGGACCGACCTTGCACATTTTTTTACGACAGCTTACAATTACTGGCGTATGGCATATTTGTAATACTTCTATATTGGCAGTAAGCTAACTTCTCAATGTGTAAGCATTCCGAAATCAAAACGAGTCTAAAGCCGTTTTTGTGTATGTATTGTGTACGTGAGTACCGTATTGGGTGTTTATTTATATATCTGTACTGTAATGTTTTCGGACCGTACTAGCTGTTACTGCCAATATAGGAGTATTACATATCGCACAGCGTCTTCAAAAGAGTCACAACTCAAAATAATACGGTCAGAAAATGCGAAAAACTATTTCGGAGCACATGCTAATCATATGGGCAAGGGCGACTTTACCATAGGTTTTTTTTAACAAATTATAACAAAAATTTGCTCCACGTTTTGCTAGAAGGTTAATAAAAGCTCTGTGTACATTTTTAGCGCATAATTTCAAAATGCCAAATTTTGAGTTGTGACTATTCTGAAGACGGTGTGCGATATATGGGGTAAGGCGACGATATCGAAATCACGGTAACGCAAGGGCTGCATCTGTTCTCGGAATTAAATGGAGAAGTACAGCGTGTGGGTCTAGTGGTGAATGATGACAAAACGAAGTATTTCCTGTCATCAGAGAAACAGTCGAAGCGTACCCGTCTCCGTCAAGTTTGAACGACGTTCGAAAACCACTCTCATTATGCCCGCAGAGGCATGGACAATAAAATCATCTGATTAGGCGGCTCTTAAGAGGTTTTGAGAGAAAGATTCTGTGGGAGATTTACGGGCCTTTGTGCGTTGGCGATGGGTGTATAATGAAATCCCGATATACAAAATACCGAAATACAGAATCCCGAAAGACATTATCCAGACACGACCAAATCCCGACCAGACATAATCCAGACACGACCAAATCCCGACCAGACATAATCCAGACACGACCAAATCCGGACCATACATAATCCCGACAAGACACAATCCAGACAAGAAATTCCGACAAAATATTAAAATAATTAAAAAATCGCTGGACACTCATTTTCGATGTTGGGAGGCGAGTTGGGCCAGAGTTACGCGGGTATCTCGTGGCAGTTGAAGCTCACTGTCGTTCACAGGTGGTGATTGGCACTGATGATGGCATTCACTTGACTGGAGTTTGCAAATACCGTTAATAACCTGTCTGTATAGTCCCAGTCCCAGGGGTGCTGTGCGTAGTGCTTGACCTGGTCCTTCAGCTAAAGCAAGTTCTAGTGCTGACAACTGTAGCACCTTACTGGGAGAATTTCAGCTTCACTGTGGATGTGATGTTCTGGCGACATCAGAAGACATCCTCTGGTTGTCCAGGGTGTTGTATTGTTGCATGTCATTAGTTTCGTCCACTGCGAACCAATAGTCCCCGGCGTGCACACAGGCGCTGCATAATTTAGAACCGGACGGCTTTGTATGTTTGCAACACCGTTTCTTTGTCTTTGGCCAAGTACTGCCGAATTGAGGACTACGGCTCTGTACTTTGTTGGCAATTTCGGTTGTATGCGTCGGGAACGAGAGCTAGATTTGACAATTTTCCGGTTATTCACCGTTGGAATTAGTTTGCCATCGACGGGAATACGCAGCTTTCGTCCTTGTGGTAAAGTGGTTGCCGAGAGGGTTAGACTCCTTGCAGTGAAGAAGCGAAAAAATGTGGAGTGGTAACCGTTTATATTTAGGCATAAGTCATCAATTTCATTTCCGGACGCATTGTAATTTTTTTTTGTCTGGATTGTGTCTTGTCGGGATTTTGTCTTGTCTGAATAATGTGTTATCTGTATTTTATTTGGTCGGGATTTTGTTATGTCTGTTTTATGTCCTGTCTGGATTTTGTATTGTCTGGATTTTTAAAAATTGTCTGGATTATGTCTAGTCGGGATCTTCAAAGTCGGGATTATGGAGTGCTCCCGTTGGCGATGGAGATTGCTGCCGACGTTGGAACGATCAGCTGTATGAATTTAACAACGTTATAGTTATAATGCGCCGCTCCGCTGGCTTTATCATGTCATACGCATGGACCAAAACGCTCAAGCTCTGAAAGTATACAATGCGCGATGCTGCTAGGGGGTAGGCCTCCTCTGCGATGGAAAGACCAGATAGAGGACTTGGCTTCACTTGGCCTTTCCAATTGGCGCAGAAGAGAAACGCCTGGTGGGCTTTGTTGGACTCGGCCAGAATCGCTTAGACGGTTACAGCGCCAATCAATCAAGAAGAACAAAGTAACTTGCACATAATTTAATTATATTGGGCAATATGATTAACTGTAGCCTACATTGTAAGTCTTTCATGTTACGCTTCGTTTACAGCTAATTTGATGTCTCCCAAGTGAACATCTAATTGATGCTCCAAAGCTAAAATATGGCCCGTGTTGCAGTGCTCGCCGCCAACAAAGGTTAAAATTAAGGGTAGCTTATTCATTTGTACCACCTGTAATAAAAAGTGAGGACACTTAATGTTTTCAAGCACTTTACAATTTTTCGCACCAACCTGGTAATTTGAATACATGGAAATAATTACTTTGTTACGTCCTAAACCCAATTTCCCGGCCTGCTCACTGGCAGTAGCAAATGTGGGAATGAAAGAAGGCATTAGTGCAAAATCTAAATTTTTATTCTGACTCACGCGCAGCAGTGGCACTCCATCTCTGTCCGTGACTTGTATTACATATAAACCATTGACCCTATGGAAAGAAAATATGGTATATTATATTAAAAATACGTATATCCAAAAGAATGAAGGTCAATACCCACTTGTGCAGTAATCCATTGAAATACTTCTTAACTTCATCGGTCATGTTATAAAGGCCACTCCAAAATATTTGCAAATGCTTTACCATGAAACACAGTATATACAGTAATAAACCAAGGCGTCTCTATGAAAGAAAAAGAAAGAATTCATCCAATCTCAACTTTCCAGCTCTCCAATAGCACTTAGAAAACAGCTGATTCAGATTAGGACAGTGTTGCCATATTTTCTGTATAATTTCACACTAAAGTCATTTCATTTCTAAATAATACCATGTCCCCACCGGGGCTAAGCACGTAGTTAATGCAGCGTTTTTGCTGCATTTAAAATGCAACATTTAGCACTTTCGAACATATGTTTTCGAAGAGCGTTCATGCTATCGCATTTAGCAAATGTACATTTACGCGAGTTCGAAATCGTATGCTTTTGACAAACAGCCGTGTTCCAGTCGCTTATTCAGATCCGTATCTATTACGATAAATTCTCACGGAAAAGATAATGTCCAAAAATCCCTACTGAAAAGGAAAAAATAAATTCTAAACCGAAAATTCAATACAAAAACTTGAATTATTTTAACCATAACCAAACATTTGTTTGTGTATATATTCATTTGTCGGTGCTGTCAATTATAATTTCCACACTTAATTAGGAAACAAAACAAACAGAGTTGATCACAAATTAATCCAGATTTCTATCAGCATCATATCGATGTTTAATTTGCGTAACTTTTCTTTATCCAAATAATGTAAAATAATAAATGAAATCTCGATCGGCGATCACTGAAACGCAGCTAGCGACTGTATACTCGAAAAAGCAATGTTGCCACTTCTTCTCATTAAACCATGTTCGAATCGTGGAAATTTTGGAAGATCACAGGGTTGCTTTTAGCATTTAGATTCTAAATGCAAAAATGGAGTTGCATTTAGGTGACGAATTTTGTATGGATAAATGTACATTTAGAGTAGCATTTAGAGCTAAATGCGCTAAATGTGCTTTTACGCGTAAGCAAAAACAGCCCATAAGGCTGTTGAGTTGGTTATCCCGATAACCCACTTGGTTTAGCGTAGTTTCGCCATCACAGCGCACGGCAGTGCGCGCGAGTGACGAAAGAAGCCACAGTAGCATACTGAAATGACTCGCTTATATATACACGACATGTTTGAGATATAGTTGGAAAGGTATTGCAGAGTGTGTCCAGAAAATGTTGTTGTTGTTGTTGTAGCGGCTACAACAACCCCGCCCAGGACGGTTGGTATCTCAGTCGTTGTCGTTAAGTTCCACTAACGGCAGCCCCAGGAAGCGTGCAGCTTCTGTGGGGTTGGTCCACAAGGACAAGGCCGTTAGGGTTGTCGGATTTTCCGGGCATGCGAAGAGATGTTTCGAGTCATGTGTGGTCTCTCCGCATGCCGGACACTCATTTGGCACACCCTCATTCAATCTACTCAGGTAGGAGTTTAACCTGCTGCAGTAGCCGGAGCGAAGTTGTGCAAGTGTCGTTCTTGTCTCCCGAGGCAGATGAAGCTCCGTCACGTCTGTGTCCGGGGGCGGTATGCCTAGAACGGCATTCACAGGTCTAGAGTCTGCATAACTCGAGACTGACTCCCTGTGAATGCCGTTCAGGGCCAGTCGGTAAGCTGTCGGTCCAGAGGTTGCTTGATGAACCTCTGGACGTCGTCTGTCAGTTCATATAGATGCCTCCTGACGTGCCTAGGGGAGGGCTCCTCTGCAAGCAGCTGTCTGTTTGGGTGGCCACTTCTGCGGCTCCCGATCAGGAACTACTTGCAGAGCATTATGTTGTGCTCCTTTACGGGGAGCATTTGCGCCTCGCCGTGAAGATGGTGTTCGGGCGACATCAGGAGGCATCCTGTCGCTGTCCTAAGTGCGGTGTTCTGTGCAGTCTTAAGCTTCGTCCACTGCGTCCTACTAGTCCCCGGCGACCACACTGGCGCTGCGTAGTTCAAAACCGGCCGGCCTATTGCCTTGTATGTTGCCAGCAACGTTTCTTTGTCTTTGCCCCAAGTACTGCCGGCTAGCGACTTGAGGACCTTGTTGCGGCTCTGTACTTTATTGACAATAGCGGTTGCGTGCGCAGAGAAGGAGAGCAGGCTGTCGAATGTTACTCCGAGTATTTTGGGGTTATTCACCGTCGGAATTGGTGTGTCATCGACGTGAATCCCCAGCGGTAGCCTGACCTCCTTCGTCCAGGTTGTGAACAGGGTCGCGGAGGATTTCGTAGGGGAGAGGGCTAGACACTTTGCAGTGAAGAAGCGAGAAAGTTCGGAGAGATAGCCGTTTACTTTCGAACACAGGTCATCAATTCCATTCCCAGTCGCCATGATCGAGCAATCGTCGGCATAAGAGACAATCGAGACTCCCTCTGGTGGTTGAGGGAGCTTTGAAATGTAAAAGTTAAACAGTAGCGGGGAAAGGACACCACCCTGAGGAACCCCCTGTTTTATTTTTCGCTGCTTACTCGTTTTGTCTCTAAACATTACCGACGAATGTCGACCACTCAGATAATTTGCCGACCACCGTTTGAGCCTCTGTGGGAGAGAGGAGGCCTCTATATCTTCTAGTAGCGTGGAATGGCAGACGGTGTCAAACGCCTTTGACAAGTCCAACGCTACTAGAATCGTTCTCTCACAGGGACGGTTTCGGTTAAGGCCACGAGTTATCTGAGTGTTTATGGCGTTAAGTGCTGTTGTTGTACTGTGCACTTTACGGAAACCATGCTGATGCTTCGCTGGGGTCAGGTGGTTTGTGAAGTACGGGAGTAGCAAGGCCTCGAGTGTCTTCGCTACCGGGGAAAGGAGTGTAATCGGACGATACGAATCTCCTTTGTTGGCAGGTTTCCCCGGTTTGAGCAGTGGGACCACTCTCCCCACCTTCCAGATGTCTGGGATGATGAGAGTGGCCATTGACAAGTTGAGGACCTCCGTTAGGTACGCTACCCCCGCAGGACCCAAATTTTTCAGCATCAGCATGCATATTCCGTCGGGACCCATGGCTTTGGAGGCTTTCGCCTTCCCGATGGCCACCTGAACTTCACCGCAAGTGAAAGCAAGGGGGGCACAAGTTGTTGGCAGTTTGTGCAGCCTTCTGGTCACTCGACGCTTGGCTTTGTCCACCGGAGGATGCAGTATGAACTGCCGGCTAAAATAGCTCGCGCATCGCTCCGGGTCCGACGAAGCATGGTCGCCGAAGGAAATTTCGACTCTGTCGTCGTGCTTCGTCGGATTAGACAATGACCTCACGGTTGACCAAAGCTTGCTCACACCAGAGGTGAAATTACAAGTCTTCAGATGCTCCTCCCACTTCTTCCGCTTATGTACGTTTACAAGTTGCCGAATCTCCGCGTTGAGATCCCTGATACGGGGATCTCCGGGATCGGCCTGACGAAGGCTATCACGCTCATCGGCTAGAACAGCCGCTTCGGCAGGGAAGTTTGGACGTGGGTCCGATATACATCCTGCCGGTATGAAGCGAGCTGCAGCAGCAGTGATAGCCCTGCGGAACTTACGTTCACCGAGATGGACGTCGGTTGGTGTGGGGAGCGCTGCGAAGGTGTTTTCGGTAAACTCCGCGTAACCTTTCCAATCAGCTTTAGAAAAGTTGATATAGGTCCGGTGTTTGGCGGAGGCAAAGTCGGTTGGTTTATCAATCGAGATGACTATGGGTAGATGGTCTGATGCTAGAGTCAGCATAGGTCGCCACGTTATGCTGTTTATCAGACCAGCGCTGACTATTGTGATGTCTGGCGAGCTACTGCAGTTACCCATAATCCTGGTGGGTGCGTCGTCGTTCATTGTGCAGAATGTCGAATCGTCTATCTGCTCAGCCAAGTCTGTTCCCCTACGATCGTTTGACAGGCTTGAGTGCCAAAGATCGTGGTGCGCATTAAAGTCACCTACTACCATACGGTTTTCACCTCTGAGGAGCGCACCTATATCAGGGTGATATCCTGCCGGGCAGCAGGTGACAGGGGGTATGTATATGTTAAATATTTCGAGCTCAACATCGCCTGACCGGATAGCGATGCCCTGACATTCTAGGGTGGATCCCTGCGGTCGATGTCTGCTTCGATTAGACGATAACTGCACGGTGTGGTGCGTGATGAACGCTAAGCCACCACCATTATCTCGCTCGCGATCTCGACGGTGCACGTTGTACCCGGCGCAATTCAACAAAGTTGAATTGCTGTTCAACTTCGTCTCTTGGACCGCAGCTATCAATATACCATGCCGACACATGAAGACGGTTATCTCCTCAATCTTGCTCTGTAGCCCGTTGCAGTTGAATTGAAGGAGCTTCATGTGGTTCGGGAGACGTGTCGTGATGTGGGGTGTAAGTGAGGTGTATGTTCTTGCCGCCGTTGGCTGTGTGTGCTGCTGAGGTGATTGCCGCCCTGTGGTGGTGGTGGGGGGCGTCGCAATTGAAGTCTGCGACCGAGCAGCGCAACACGGGCCCTCGAAGTTCCCCGTCCAATCTCGCGTGGTACGCAGACCTGAACATGCCCTAAAGTGGCACCAGCCAAGGCAGGTGTTGCACTTGACTGATGTCACATTACGGAATATCCTGGTCTGACATACCGTGCAGATTGTAGGGGGAACCAGGAGTTGTTGGCGGCGGCGTGTGGGTGGTGGTGCGGTTGTGTGTGTTATGTGGTCTGTCGTGGCTATGGTATGGTCTGTGGTGTTATTATGTTGTTGTGTTGTGGTGACTGTGTGAGTCTGCTCGGGTGGACTGAGGCCGTGGAGGCTGCTCTGTTTGCGCAACAGGGGGCCACGTACGACGTGGTCCACTGTCGGTGTGTCCGTAGTCCTGAGCAGACTTCTAAGGTGACTCCACCCCTCGCAGGCATTACACTTGACTGAGGTGGAGTTGTGGTGTAGTCGTCTCCGGCATACACAGCACGTGTAGATTTCTGGCCCTGGGTTTGACTCGATGCCAGCCCTGAGTAGAAGAATACGTAGTGAATGTAGCCCTATGGACGAACGACTTCTGAGATACTTCGCCGACCTAAACGGGGTTAGATCGCCGAAACAACAGCCCTTGGTCGGGTAAAACCCGAGTCATTCCGGTACGTAGAACCGGCTGTCGTGGGAATGGTCCAGAAAATGTATTCAAGCTTCATAAACGATTAACTGGATTCTTAAAAATTAGGCTAAAGTGTTGCAAAACAAAAAACGTTTTTTGACTTTTGCCGGTTTAAG